GGTCTCTGGGTTAGACTGCATTTGACTTTTGTAGCTCATTAATATCAAAAGAAGTGAGGTAAAAGGAGAAAAATACTTAAAAATAATTCTTCTGGCTCAGAAAAAATATTGAAAAAGATTCAGAGGTTTAAAAAAATTATTTTCCTAATTTAATAGATATTTCAGAATTGTGAAGCAATAATTTTCCATGCAAAATAGAATAAATAATATAGTATGTAAAATATAGCTGTGTGTCAATTTGAATAAATATGATGTTTTCTAAATCATGTAAAAATACAGGTCTTGCCCAGCAAAGTGTATGTTTGCTTGTATGTTCCCTGGATGAATTAAAGTAGTCTACCTAAACCATCTGTCATTACAAGAAGACAAGGTAAATTTTCATTGGACTGGGCTTACCTGAAGAGCGAACCTTTTCCTTCCAGTCCTGTCCCCTACTTTAATTTTTGATTTTTTAAAATGTGTTACGTTTGCTTTTCTCCTTTTTTTTTTTCTTTTTCTTTTTCCTTTTTTTTTTACTCCAAGATCACTCATGGAATAAAGTGCCAGAATGGTTTTGCAATTCAACTCTTGCTCCTGTCCCTCATTCTAACATTGCAATACCTTGGTACACTGAGTGGTTATGGGATTTTAGTGATCCAGTGAATTAAAAGGATATTTCTCTTCCTTTGAAATAAGGTTTCCTGTTTCTTCTGTGGACCTTTCAATATTTTGTAGGATCACTATCATGGGAAAGTACTATAAGTAATCGCCTTTGCAGTGTGTCAGGGGCAGTCCATCAATATTTTGGCCTTTGTTAATCCTCCCAGACAGTTCCAAAGCTATAGGAGTGAGATCAGAACTGAAGCCTGGAAACAAGTTAGTCAATAGTTTCATATCATTCCTTTGGTACCTGTAGAGATGTTAACACATGTCCACATTAGAAAACAGCCCTTCTCTGATGTTAAATGCTCTTGCCTTCCGTTATCTGTTATCCCGTTTTTGTTTACAGGAAGCAACAAAGAATTATAAATTCCTCCAAAGAATGGGCTACTTGCAGAAGTAGCATAGAAAAAAGCACCACAGACTCAGTATTTCAAACAGACTCATGTTTTCCCAGCCTGAAGGAGAACCCCCCATCTGTAGTAGCCCCTTATCTATGTGTGCATGTTTGGGCTGTGGTTGAGTTGATTTTCGTCACAATATGGGACGATGTTTAGAATTTGAGTTGGAAACAGTGATGATAGCACAGGGATGTTGTAGCTCTTGCTGAGCAGGGCTTTCCCTGAGTGGAGGCCTTCTCTGCCTCAGCAAGTAGGCTGAGGATGCACAGGGAGTTGCACAGCCAGGACCTGACCCCAAGTGACCAGAGATATTCTGTAACATATGGCATCATCTTCAGCATATAAAGCTGGGAAAAGAAGGAAGGTGGGGGGACATTTGGAGTGATGGCATTTGTATACCCAAGTCACACTTACTTCTTTCCTGGGAATGGCTGAACACCTGTCTGCCCATGGGAAGCTGTGAATGAATTCCTCGGTTTGTTTTGCTTGCTTGTGTGACTTTCGTTTTACCTATTGAACTCTCTATCTCAACACTCAACTATACTCCCTTTTACTTTCCTATTTTCTCCTTCATCATTGCAGGTGGAAGTGAGCAAGCGGCTGTGTGGGACTTAATTACCAAGTGGAATTAAACCAGCCCACCATGGAACAATCTGCTGAAAGAGATGCTGCTGTTTTGGGGAACAAACGTGTCTGATTCAAAATGGAAATGTTGCACATTGTTTTTCAGGACTTTTTCTGAAAACTTACTAATCACTTGATGAAATAAACTGTTTTTAGGGGAGACAGATGATAGGAACACCATGATTTTGTTGCCATTTCACACATCCATTTGACATAGTTTAAAACTACCATCTCTGGAACATCCAGAACACAGCCTGCAAGAGCTGTGTGGAAAATTATCAGCATTAGTGACTCTAATCCATGAAGTAATGCTTTGCCATGGGCACTCAAAGAGTCAGTTGTAGGGAGATATTGTCACTGGTTATATTTCTAGAGGGCTGTGGGTTCGCAGCCCTCAGCTCTCCTGTACTTTTGGAGAGCTCAGAAGCATGCTTGAGCCCCAGAAGAGGTTGTCAGCAGCAGCAGCAGCAGAGGACAGCAGGAATGCCAAGCTGCTGCTGAGTGCTCTTGAGCCCAGGATAACTGAGCTCTCAAGCCGTGATTGCCTCTTGGACCCATCTACATACCTGTCCTCCCACAGAGTTCAGATATAGACTTTTTTCTTATTTCCAGTAAAGGAAGTGGCTGCAGACAAAAGTGTATTCACAAACATAAGCTTTAGACCTCAAGTCCCTCCTGAGCTGACTGTTCTTATGACTTCTGCCTGCAAGACCTCTGCTGTCCCTTCTCTCTTTCTCTTGCCTCAAAGAAAAGCTCAGTGTTTTATATTTCTGAGTTAATGAGTCAGCCTGCCTGACCTGACTGTCAGGATGAATCAGCAGTTAGTTCTGCACCTCCATGCCATACTGACACTCTCTCTCAAGTGGATTTACCATCATTTAATAATATTTTTTTTAATGTATTAGTCTAGTGGAGATTCTCTCATACCTTAGAAGCATGAGTTGATCATTAATGTTGTTTCACTTAAGGTAGTTCTCAGTCCAGCTTCAGCCTAAGTACAGATGGATTTTGTTTTTTGTAATATTCTCTGTTAACAGCTACTTGTTGATGGGCAATACTTTCTGTTCTTTTACATAACCCTGTAAAGAGGATTCCAGAGTGGAAGCCTACGTTCAAAACAGACTCCTAATTTAAATTCCACATACATTTATTTGCAAACATATATAAAACTGAAACTTAAATACTAGCAACTCACATCCATGCCTGCATTTACTATAATTCATGAGAATATTTCTATTAAATAAACATTAATATTGCTGTAGTACATGTGAACAGGTAAAGAGAACTCTATGAATCAGGTAATTCAGGAGTTACGGAGTCCTAGATCTGAATCTGCAAAGGTTTTGAGTGAGTTAAAAAGCTATAGACTCTTCTGCAACTGCAGGGATAATATTTTCTGCATTTTTATTTCTTTAGTTACTTAAATTCAGTGTCTAATTTATTCATAGCTGAGAAAATTTTGGCTGCTGAAAAATGGGATAGCTTATAATCCCTCTTCCAATCCATAAATATAAATGAGGTGCAACAGGATGAGATCTGGTAGTTCTAAAATCATGACAGACATGATGATCAGAAACTATTAGTACAATTTTTTAACTACGGACAATATTTCCTTTGTTTAATGAATCAATTACTTTCAAAACTCATTTCAATAAATGAATGTTTTGCCTAAGTAACAAGCTATTTAAGGTGGATTAATTTAACTAAAACAAACAACTTTATAAAGCTAGGTTTGCACTTTTAATTGATTTGCAAATTCCATCCAATTGCAACTTGATGAGAAACACAAATATAAGCATTATCATAAGAGGGTAAATACTAAATGTATCTATCACCATTTTTCTAAAATACCTTCTAATCATAATCCAACTAAATGTATATCAGGCTATACCCTGTCTAAATGCATATAATATATTCACCTCACTAAAATAAATACTTAGCAGACAAGCTGTATTTAGGTGAAAATCAACACCCTCCTATGGTTACTAATCAGTAGAGTTCAATATTCCTTTAGGAAGGTGACTAATAAGTAAAAATGCAAACCAAGATTAAAACTGATTATTTAAAACTAATTTTCCTGTTTTCTGGTTTAAATGATGATTAAAATTGGTAATCCACCATAGTCAACTCCTGGTTTCTGTTAGAAACACAGCTTTAATTGCTTTTCTGTGGCAGAATACATCACAAATGAAGAAAAAAAAATCACTTGTTGGGATAATCTATCTGTGTGGTAATTTTGAAACACAAAAGACCCTTTTTCTGTCCTGGGGCTGGGGCTGTATTGGGGAAATTTTCCACACTGGAAGTTAGTTGGCAAGCATCCCTTAGGATTGGCACCAATCCAACATGATATCATTATGCCGTAGACTTGATGTTAATTGTAACCCAGCTTTAAGATAATTTACATGTATGTAATTCTTTAATTACCTAGAGCTCTCTGTAGCATTAATATAGCATCCTGCAATATTATTCACTTTTCTGTCATTAATATGGATGCTTACAAATACCGTTGTGTATGGAAAGCTGCCAACTTCACTTGAGCCAATGAATTTTTCTGTCCATCATTCAATTTTCTTGGCATACATTCACAAAATAGAGGCATTTTAAATGAGTAAATGATTGTAATCTGCATTGTACTGCTTGAAAGAAAAACCTCTTTCATCTCAGCTGTTCCCTGATCACCTCTGTAAGAGAATCTCTTCAGCACCCATTCTCCCCTTTCCTCTTGCTCTTGTGAAGTGAAAGACAGCCAAAGTCGTGCCATTTAAGGACTGAAGTGAAATCTCTGAAGATTGCTGAAGACTGTAACCTCCTATAGACCACTTAATAACAATAATAGGGTTAACAGAATTCAAAATCACTGTCACAGTCTTGACAAGAGTCAAAGTATATGGAATGAGTGTCCCGCTTAAATTTCAGCTTCCTTCCTCACTTTGCTCAATGGAACCATGAAAATGCTTTATCAAGAAGGGATTCTTCATATGGAAGACATTGCAAATGCAATACATAAAAGGGGTAAGTTCAGCATGCTCCAAAGAGGCAAAATAAACCCCACTGCAACACAATCAGTACATCTCTGCTCTGCATGGAGTGGAGGACACATTAAATGAAGAGGGTACAGTACCCTATGCACAGACCCACATTGCACCTGCCATTTTGCCCTGCCTTTTCTGGAATGGTGGGGCTTGGATACAGGAGAATTTTGCTATGTGGAACCTTTTACTTCTCTGTCCAGAACTCACACATGTGTCCACAGAGACCTCAGTGCCACTACACTCAGATGCTGCAGAATGAACTCCTACCTGCTACTACTTCACGGGCATTCTTCTTTTTTCCCAGCAGCTAGCCAGCCTTGGAGAGAGCATCTTGGCTTTTCTTGAAAAGAACAGAGTAAAAGAGAATGCTTTAATGATGTTGGGGGAAAGAAGACAATATCAAAGTGTCCCAGTATTTTTCCCATTGCTCCCAGGAAATGATCAGGAGTCTTGCATCAAACACTGAGAGAAATCACTGAAGTAATAATCAGAGTGCTTGTCATGAGCTCCCATTCCATCACAGCCATCACATCCATCTGCACCCAATCTGTACTTAAACTATCCCTTCATCACATCAATCCCTCTTTTACATAGATGCACATCTTCCACTTTGTAGGAGACAGTTCCTTTTAAACTAGGACTCAGATGCAATTCACTGAAGCAAAAGAGAGGAAATTACACCCTGGATACTAGCTGCTTTAGATTTTCAGGAAAAAATTATTAACATTTAACAAGTCTAGCCCTCTATGCTATACACAACTGCATTTCAAAGACAAATAAACAAGAGGTTGCTCCACAGCTTGCATCTGAATGCAAGGAAAGACTAGCATGTGATCTCTGCAGCTCTGTGCTGGTGATATTTAGTTACGGGAAAAGGCATTTTTGTACACATATACTTATAGCTCAGTCTGTGTCATAAATTAAAAGGAAGCCCCAAGTGTCCTTTGCAATGTTATTCAGATGGGTCTAATAAAAGCAGTAATGGCTTTTGCAATGATCTGTCTTGGTGTACAAGAAACAGAAATGTTACTGAATGTCCTGTGTCTTACCATATCTAAGAAAAAAATCAAAATAGGGGATATTTAATGCAAACTACATCATCCGCAGAAAATTCTTCTTTTTCCTAGTGTCTTCTACCCTTATATCATCAGTCTAACGTTTAATAGAACTCTAAAAGAAAATTGGAACACTCTTCTGATAGTATTTTGATACTTGATTTGTGTATAAATACCTAATGAGGGGAAAAGTACAAGTAAAAAAGAGGGAGACAGAGGTGCCTAGCAAGAGGACAAGAAGCAATTGGCACAAACTTACAGACAAGAAATTCAATGAAAAGAATTAATATTACCTGGAGCAACCTGTTCTAGCCTGGACCCTGTTTCTGACCAGAGACCTCTAAGGGTCTCTCCCAACTTCACCTGCTCCATGATTTCAAAGTCTCAGAAAGTTTTTGAGGCAACAGAAAAAAATACCCTGCTGCAAGTTTACAGTTGGAATAATCATGTCAGTATTGGTGTATGGAAGCAGTCTGGTTTGTTGAATCTAACTGACAAATTTGTTTTCAAATCTTTTTGGTATTAAATTACAATCACCCCTTTACTTGTCATTATCTTGGAGTAAAGTACTGCTGGTTTTAGCTTCCTTTACCAATCCATCCTTTATTTTTGCATCATGTGTCTTGTTAACATATGGCACAAATAAACTATGGGAGAAAGACATAAGCAATCGAGTACCCAAGCTGTAATTTTAAGAACTTGAAAAATTCTGAGTAAATATTGTTCAAGAGTAAGTATTTTTGTTTTGTTCAAGAAATCAAAATATTTTAAATTCATCATGGAAATGACCAAAGCTATATGATGTCATTTTTCCTGATAGAAGAAAATTTAATACCTGAAAGCATGATTCTATTCCCTCTAGACTATGTTTCCCTCAGGAAAAAAACCACATAGACACAAGCTGCTAATAAGAACTGGGATAGCAAAGAACACTGTCAAAATAATTTCTGCCTGTTGTCTACTGTGTCAGGGGCAAGGGGTGTCTTCAAATTTGGTAACTCCCACAGAGGTCTATGAAAAAAAAATATTGGGGGTGGGGGCTGTCAATATCCCAATCCTACTGTCACCTGAAAGAGCTTGATTACGTTGCATGCGACAGAAGTTAAGAGCTAATAATGAGCTAGATCATTTATCCCAAGCAGCAGTTCTTATGCAAAATATTTTTCCTGTCTGCACTGACATAAAATGTAAGTCAGTGGAGAATACACATCCCAGTGAAAAATGACAACTCAAATAACTCCACAGCCAGATAACTTGTCACAGTCCTGTTCCCTGCTCAGACACTTTGCAGGATGGCACTATCCCTTCTGCTGTAGCAGTACAAGGAGGCCACCCCAGTCAAAAGCAACCCAGCAAAACAAAGAGAAGATCATTTTTCAAGCTGTTCCATTCCCTGAACAGCAGCGGCACATTCACAAGGAGGTCAGCAGGACCCCACAGCCAGGGAGCACAAAGAGCAATGACAGCCTCAAATAGATCAGCCTAAGTGGTGCTGATCAAGTCTCTCTCTCACAAAACCCTGTGTGTGTGTTTGTGAAAGAGAGACCTTTATCTTTTCAAAGCAAAGAGCTGTTAATTAACTGGGCAAGTACTGGCACTTGGACTGAGAGAACTGGCGCCTCTCAGGAAAGGCTATTTAGTTCAGTTAAGAGAGAAATTGTGGAGAGGAAGATTAAATCTGTCTGTACCTCCTGGAGGACTTCAGATGGACTTTAAAAGCTAACATCCACAAGGGGTTTTCTCCACAGCATACAACCCCTGGTGTTAAACAGACACAAGTCCAGGATTCCTAATGAGATGTACATGATAAAAAGCTGCAGCAGGTTAGTTGAGCTGAAGGACAGACCCTTGTGGCTGCATCTTTGAGAAGGCAAATGACACACAGATCCCCTTCTTCTGTCTTTTAAAACTGTGCTGCTTACCTTGGAAGTGCACAGCCACAGCATTTTCCTTTTATTTTGCCTGAGTCATTCATGATCTCAGGGCTCCAGCACAGCAAGGTATTTCTCTCCCAAAGGCATGGCCAAGCTCCAAACTGTAACACAAAACACACCCACATGAGCATCCCTGCTTCCAGCCTCTTCCCTGGAGAGAGCATAGGGAAGCTGCTGCTGCAGTCCTGATGGCACAGTGTGTGTCTTTGAGTATTTTTCACATCCTTAATGCACAGTATCTTTTCCAATTTGTATAATCCCTTATCTTCTGTGTTCATAAGCATATACAGTTTTTTCGAAATGGAATAAAAGTCTCTAAGTACCTCAGAGAGACAAAAAATACTCAGCAATTGATATTCTGTGACATTTAAGTACACAGCTAAAGATCGGCCACCACATATTAAACATAATATACATCATAGATATATTTTATTCCCCTGCTATTCTTGAAGAATGAAAGTACTTCTAAGGACAGGTGTGAGAAATGAAAAGTGCTTGGAATGTGTAGGGAAAGATGCTTCTGAATAACATTAAATTTTAATAACTTGTGAGTTTTGTCACCAGCAGAGCCGCAGTAGATGTGAGAAAGTAGGAGTAAGAACCACAAGGAAATATTTTTGCACATATCACTCCTGTTTACTTTCATTTATTCTCCCACCAATCTTTTTGAAGGATACTGCTGACTCCAAGCCTTCTGCTGTTGTGAGTCACATTATGTTGATCACCTTCAGTGTCCAGGAGATCTCTAGGCAGTCTCATATGCAGTCTGGGAATAGATCTGTTTGAAGGGAAAAGACAGCTCTCTCTTTTTTCTCCAGCAAAGCAAGCAGAAGTAGTGAAGATTTCTCTATTGGAGAGCTACCTAATTCAAAACACACATCCCTTTTTTCACTGCTTAGTAATAAAGAAATACAGTACTGGTCTACTTCCTAATAGAAATTCAAACAAAAATAGGTTTGGTTATTGACTGTTCTTCTATAACCAGCTGCTACAATTATCTTCTCTCATCCTGTTAATCTAAAGAGAAAAACAGGCAACTGCCAATTATGCACTACTGATACAGGAAATTTACACAACATGGGATGTGATATTCAGCTCCCACAGCTGGAGTTCACTTGACCAGTTGTGTGCTGAAGATCGGGGCAGCTTGGCAATTGTTTAAACACATCTTCTTGCTCAGCTGGTCAATTATTCACAGGAACAGCAAAGCAGGAAAATGGTTTTTGATAGTGTGAAGTGTGCACACGCATCAGTCACTTGCAGTGAGATCTGTGACTATTTCTTCTCTCCTCTGTGTCCCTGGTTTTCCTTCCACTCCTCGCCCTTTGCTAGGCCAGGTTCACATGGTCCGAGCTTCCTCCTGTTGCCATGTAATGTGGAGCATGAGACCCTTGACCTCAGTTGAGTCCCCAGGGTTCTGCTGTTCAGAGTTGAGGGATAGCTGCATTTTCTTCTCCGTTGTAAGCTACAATATCCTCCTTCCCTTGCAAGAAAGATGCTAAGATGGAGCTCCAGGTAGGTTAAACAATCCCCACCCTGCCACGGCCTCTCTGCCCAGCTCAGGACAGCCTACCAAACATTTGGCCTAAGGCAGCAGGAGATGAGCATCTCAGCATCTTTATGTACTCAGTCATTCTTGAAAATCAGAGCAGGAACAGCAGTTTATCTTTCAGCTCATGGGCCACCTCTCTTTTGAAAAACAGACATTGTAGGCTGCACTGCTTAACATAGTTTTTTTTAAGTCCATTGGTGTTACAGTGTTCAGTTTCTGCAGTGTTGACAACCAGAGACAAAACAGCCTGTACAATTTTTTGAAGACCTGTTTTGACACAAAAAATCTCTATTAATGCACAATAATAATTTATTGCAGTCTCACACCTCAGCAGGAGGTCCTTTCATATTGATAAAACTGAAATCTCACTCATGTTTGTTTGAAGGTTTTGAAAAGCTCTTTACCTTTTATATTTATTATTTAGGGAATACTGTATGAACAAACAATTCTTTATGAAAAACAGTAGAACACAAGGTCTCTGGCACCAAAGTAGTCCTGTGATCTACTTCAAATACAGTTCATGTAACATCAGTTTAGATGCAACTGAGTGCAAAGGTGTCTGTTATGTAGGAAACACATTTCATTAAAAGACAAAAAAGACTTAAACTCTCAGAAGACCTCCACTGTTTTTTTTTTTCCTTTGAAATCATGCAATGATACATAACTCACAGATCTGTTTTTACACTAAAGCATTATTGAAAGCTGGCAGCGTAGTACATTTTTTGCAACATTGCACTAAGAGGGCAAAAGTTGAGCTTATTGAAAAGAAATCTGTCCTGTGGCAACCGATTTCATAATTAAGTGTACTCTGACTATAGAAACAAATAAAAAGGAGCCCTTATCCTACATGCACACTAGACTTCTAGAGGAAAAAAAAAAATCCTGGAGGTTTAATTGCATTTGTTGACTTGAAAGAGTGATTTCATGATAGTAATGTGAAAAGTGATATTCTGACTCCACTCTTCTGCAAACCTCTTTTCTTCTGTACTGTCTCCAGACCTTTAATAGTTATTGTGTCTGATAACTCCTCTTGCTAGAGGTTGGGATTTGGGGGTGTGCATGTCCTGCTTCTGTTCTTTAGACTTCTTTTCATATCACACCACAGTTAATGCTGACTATTAATTCTGAATGTGCATCCTACATTTAACCCTTAAAGACTACATGTAGGTACTACAAGATAATATATAATATTTATTATGTTATGATACGTTATGTATATTTCATAATGTATTTTATACAGTATCATCACAACCAATGGGAAAACTGTCAAGCTGTCACATCCTGCAGAACATAGCACAAAAAAGGAAAAGTTGGGACAGAGAAACTTTTCTAATAAACTGTTCCTGAATCAGAAAAGATACACTATTGAGTGGCCTGATATTATTCACAGAATTCACAGACTTCACAAAATTCACAGAATTCACAAAATTCACAGAATGACTAGGTTGGAAGAGACCTTAAAGGTAATTGAGTCCAACACATGCCCTAATACCTCAACTAAACCATGGCACTGAGTGTCACATCCAGTGACAGCTTTTTCTTAAACACCTCCAGGGATGGTGACTCCACCACCTTCCCAAGCAGACCATAATGATGTTCATTATATGAACATCAATGTTAAATTTAAAATTTGGAAAGCTGAAATCCTTTCCCAAGACTGAAAAATAAATATGGCAAATTACTTTTGCCAATATATCGTTATTTGCTGTTTGTTGCCGTGCGAGATCAGCTCCGGGCGGACACCTGTGGGCACGCACGGCGGGGGGGAGGGGGGTGTGTAGAGGACGCGGCCGCATTCCCCTCGTCTCTGCGAGGCTCAGTCCATGCGGGAACAGACGAAATGGTGACACGGGGCTCGGGTGCAAACACGTGTTTATTGTGGGAGCATGTTCCTGAGACACCGGGGGAGCGAGCGGGGCTCTCGGTTATACCCCATGCCGGGGGCGGGGGAAACCTGAGCCACAGCCAATGGGACGGGGGCAGGGGACAGGGGCAGGGGACAGGGGCAGGGGACAGGGGCAGGGGACAGGGGCAGGGAAACCCCGGGGACTGTGACGGGAAAGCTGGGGGGGGGGGGGGAGGGCAGGGGACAGGGACCGGACTGCATGGTGAGGGGGAGAGATAAGGGAACAAAGGGTCGGGACAAGGGACTGCGGCAGGAAGGGGGAGTAAGGGGGGGAAGATAAGAAAATTACAAATCCTACAGCATACTCTTTTGAAATTACATAAAGGAAAGGGAGTTCTGAGGTAAAACAAAATTAGCAACGTTACAAATTCGAGAGATCAGAAAGTGATACACCAATCATAGTTACAATGAATGGGGCAAAAATCTTTTCCACATTACAATTTAAGATAAAGGGTACAAAATTATCATAAACACATTCTGTATCGAGGATGAAAGCAGGATTCATGACGTGATGCTTGTGGTTTCCAAATTTTAGCAGAGCAAAAGCAGGCAGCGAACAGCAATGTGGTTTCTCCAATTTGATTGCGAAGTTGGCATAGCATTGTGGGCAGTAATTAGAGAAGATAATCTTTCCTTCTATAAGATATAACTCAATCCAAGAAGTTATTTCCAAATTATCACAAGCAATGGGAAAAACTTGTATTGAAATAAGGGAATTTGTGGCAAGGTACATTTAGGAGATGGGATAAAGGGGTGAACCTGGGCGCCACTATTTCAGGGGAAGGAAAACAGTAGAGCTCTGGTCCAGGTTTCCAGCTTCACTCCCTTCAAAGGGCCCCCCCCCCACAGCAAAGGGGAAAGCTCTCTTACAAAGGGAGGTCCTCTAACGGAGGGACCCCTCCGGCGATCCCTCCCATCAGAGGGGGAGCCAGAAGAAGGACTGAGGGATTAATCCAACCTCACCTCCCCCTCAATAGGGGCTGGCTCGCTGCAGGATGGTGCAGTGCCATTGGGGGATGGGTGGGGCTGGCAGGAAAACGTGGGCGGAAGAGAAGGATCAAGGCGGGAAAATGGGGTCCCTGTAGCGTGGCCAGCGCCATCTTGGGAGGGGGTGCTGGGTACACGGCATCTCGCCGGGGGAGGCATGGCCAATGCCGCCCCTAAGGGAGAATAACAGTGTCCGGCAGGGCGCTTGGGGCGGCTCGGCCGCTGCCATCCCCAAGGGAGAAGGTTTGGGGAAGTCTGTGGGGAAAAGGGGAGGGAAAGCTTCGCAGAAGCTGAGGGGAAAATCTGCAGGAGAGGGGCCAGACGCAGCTGGAAGCCGACGAAATGCGTGGATGTTGAGGGCCTCTCTTAAGATGTTAACAATTCTCCCATAGCTGACGTGTCGCCGTTTACAATCCTGTCCCATTGGTGTCCTTTCGACCCCCCCTGCCCCCACAGCCCAGAATAGAGAGGAGAGGGTAGAAAAGGCAGCTTTCCGAGAAAGAGAAGGAGCTTTCCAGTATGAGTTACCCCAAAAAGACTGAGCGAGGTTGCGTCCTCCTTGGAAAAGAAAACGCCTCCCGGCCGCCAGGGGCATGCAAGCCTACAGCCCCCGTCTGAGCGCGGACGGTGGTTAAAACTCAGAAAAGAAAAAAAAGGTAGCTCAGCCGCCCGCCAGGGTCCCCACCCTGCTCTGACCCAACTTACACTCCAGGCTCAGGCGGTGAAATCTCTATCTCTCTCCTCGGTGGTGGAAAATCACGCTGAACTGAGAACGTTTTCTTTCGCAGTTTGGCTTCTCCCAGAAGTCTGGGTGTTCCCGTTAACCAGAGCTCACCCTTGAAACCCTGGGTTCGGCCACTATCAACCTCTGGTCCCCGTTCAAATACCGTCCCCCTGACGGGCCACTCTTCGAGCTCAGTCCATCGAGCCACTGTCAAACTGTCCTCTTTGTCCTCGGGTAAGTCTACCCAGCTCCCGGCCTCTGCAGTCTGGCTGCCCCCGCAGCGTGGCTGCTCCCGGGCGGGTTAGAGAGCACACTGGCAAGGACCGAAGAGGGTCCCAGAGCTTCGAGTTTGTTTTCCGCCCGGCGAATCCACTCCTCTTAGCGTCTGCAGAGCTCTTGCGGCGGCAGAGTTCCTTTCTCTCTCCCCCCTTTCACAAATCGATGGAAATAACCGTCCTCTGCTACCATTTGTTGCCGTGCGAGATCGGCTCCAGGCGGACGCCTGTGGGCACGCACGGCGGGGGTGGGGTAGACGGCGGCCGCTTTCCCCTCGTCTCTGCGAGGCTCAGTCCACGCGGGAACAGACGAAATGGCGACATGGGGCTCGGGTGCAAACACGTGTTTATTGTGGGAGCGTGTTCCTGAGACACCGGGGGAGTGAGCGGGGCTCTCGGTTATACCCCATGCCGGGGGTGGGGGGGAACCTGAGCCACAGCCAATGGGACGGGAGGCAGGGGACAGGGGCAGGGGACAGGGGCAGGGGACAGGGGCAGGGAAACCCCGGGGACCACGATGGAAAAGCCACGGGGGGGGGGGGGGGGGGGGAAGGCAGGGGACAGGGACCGGACCGCATGGTGAGGGGGAGAGATAAGGGAACAAAGGGTCGGGACAAGGGACCACGGCGGGAAGGGGGAGTGAGGGGGGGGAAGAAAAGAAAATTACAAATCCTACAGCTGTTAAGTGGAAAAACCAGACATCAGAATACCAATGGCTTTACCTCTCTGATATATTCTTAAGAACACTTTTTGTTTACATTTAGATAAAAATGAGATTTTTTTTTTTTTTTGGAATAGTCAACCGTGTGCTCACTCTTTAGAAGTAGATTTTCCTGGATCTCATATGAGGTAGCAGGTTATTAGGAATTAAGTTGCTGTGAGCTCCAAAGGTCACAAATATTTCAGTACTTCATTCAACCTAATGATGGGTACTGATACAGACAAATGTATTTTAAAAAGAAAAAATACCCAAACCCAACCCAAACCTCTCCACACTTCTCTGCCATAGAAACAATAATTTTCAGTTTATGTTCAGTAGTGGTGCATCATCAGTGTTTTTGCATTGGAAATACTGTCTATTTACTTGCATGGACACCCATGACCAGCTTCTCATTAGAGTAGCAGAGGTGCAATGTAATTCTATTAAAGTAATTCAAGTAACTATACCTTCCCATTGCTGTAATGTCCACCCTACTAGTAAAAAAAAAAAAAATCTACTGCTCTGTAGGTTTTTATCTGTTCTTTAAAGTTTAATAGGCACAAACATATATATTGAAGAAACCTAAACCATAAGAATAAATACTGTAGATAGAGTAAGTTTTATCTTATATCTATGTTGCCTTCAGGGGAGGCAACGTGCGACCTGGTTGCAAGGCGACAGCACGGCAGCCCAGCCCAGTCAGGGCTACTCGGGCTAACGACACACACTAACACCAATGTGATGGACGGTCGAAAGCATTTATTATCTTATCTCATGGGTTTAAATAGTCTTGGGGGACTTTGCTACGTCAGGGGGGGTTGGTAGGGTCTCTAGGGTTAGTCGGGAGTGGAAAACTACTGGGTTAGGTGTGGTTACATGTTCTGGGGGTGGTAGATAACGTGTTGCAAGGAGAGGGGGGAAGGGTCTTTCTTTCCGTCACATCCCGGGATCTTCCATTCGCCTGTCCCTATCTACTACATACCTAGAAATTACTTTACTGATCACCAGTGCACGATTACATGAATGTACAAAGATTTAATTTTGTTTTTGTACAACAGTGGGAAGTTTATGTGTAAATGGGTATTATAAAGCATTAGTACATGAAGTGTGTCAATTAAGCTACTGCAATGCAACCTGAAGATTGTGATCCAAACTAAGCTAATGTATCTTTACATCTTAAAGGTGGACTTCTGATCCTTTTGTAACAATAATAGGCTGAAACACAACCCTGTAAACAAGGAAGGGAAGGACATCTGGGATATCATTTTGTATTAGTCTTACTACAATAACCTGTGTAAATATTCTTTTCTGTACCTGTTCACCTTTTTTTAAAAGGTGGACTGTGCAAAAAGTAGTAAGCTTTGGGGTAGCTAAATTGTAGCCAATATTTTGAAGAAGATCCTGTAAAGCATTATTTTTCTTGGTAGAGATCTAAGGAGACACTCAATCTTACTCTTGGCTGTCTGGCGTGGAAACAATCCTAATTTGAACTTTTCACATATCTGCTGTTATACATGTACCCCTTTGCTTTGCTCTTTTAGAGCCATCTACATAGGAAGACAAACTACCTGTCTACCTGGAACCAGCTGTTTGACCAAGAGAACACTAAGGCACCAGACCTTTATGATAAAATTTGGATGAAGAAAAACCTGATTCTCAAATCCTATGTCAGATGCACACCCCAGGAGTTGGGACCAGTCCTAAAAGAGATCAGAGATTACTCTTCTGATCTTGTACCATTTTAAAAGAGTAATAATTTACTCCTGATATGTATTTTTTGCCTCCCTGCTAGATTGTTATAATCAGTTGCACACTCTCTAATCCTTAATTTTCTTAATATCTTCTTGTGAGAAACTCTGCCTTGTCTTAATGCCATCTTTTTCATCAGCACAATTAAGATTAAGTTATTAGATTTAATGACATATTACTTATATTACACAGATTTGGATATAATTTACAATGATCCTTATTGAATCTAAAAACCTTATCAAAATCAATGGGGTTGTGATTTTTATAAGTGATAAAAATTAAGGCCACAGGCAGCATTGACTTGGAATGGAACAGCAATAGGCAGCAACTGGCATTAACCTTCCTGATGCCTTGAACTTCTGACCTTGTGCATTCTGGACAAATGGACTGGCTGGCCATTTTGGTGCTTGTACTATGATTAATGAGGTTTTTAAATAGCAGGAGACCATGCAAATGTGATGAATTTTGAGAATGTCAGACTTCAGAAAAATCTTTGAAATTTAACCGACAACTTGATCTTCTGGGAGAAAAAAGTTACTAACCAGAAACAGTCAGGTTAAGACATGACTTATACAATTCATTTGCTTTGTGACCTCCTTGAGCTTCATCAAAAACATCAAAAGAAGACAGTTTTCACAATATTTTTCTGCTTATGGCTAATGGTTTCAGAGGTTTAGAATTCATGCCGAAAGAATGCTCTGTAGGTGTAATGAGAAAATTAAACTGGAAAAAAAAAGTTGATAATCTTAGTTGTAAAACCTAAGGACTGACTTTTTAACCCCTTTATTTCTTCTTAGAACACAAAATAACACTTAAAATAATATTTTTTCAAGCATCCTCAAAGGACTGAATTTGTTAAGTTGTAATATTTATTGTGTTATGGAAGAACAACCTTCATTCTTTGTATCAAGCTTTTCATCTGAAAGAGCAGCACGTAGAATTTTAAAACGAGTCATAATGACCAGATCTAGAACTATTTATCATGTTTTAATGCCTCCTTTCAAAATAACATCAGTCAGGACATCAGTACTGAACTATAATATATATAACTAAAGTGTAATATATTTGATCTGGTACTTTCATCTTCTATCATGGTGACATGGTCCATTAGTGTGTTCTTACAAAGGAATCCCAGAGACTCCTAGTAGCATTTTATCCCAGCAGAAATTCCTGCCAAGAGTAGAAAAGCAAAACATAGAATAACATTTCTAATGGGCATGTCTGAACTTTTATTTGATTTTACCATTTCTGTGTATGTTTTAGGGCAAATAAAGTGCTTACAGAAATGCAGTGCACAAAGCCTCTCTTGTCTGGTGAGAATGCCTCACTAGTCTTGAACAATTCTGTACAAAGAACACATGATCACTCCTTGGGGTGCTAAATCTAATCTAAGGTCTATATTTTGCTCAACTTCTGGTTAGATTTGATGTATCGCAACAGACCAGCAGGTATCACTAAAACACAAAGCATCACAAATTATATTTACAGTTCTGCTTCTTGAAACAGAAAATCCCACAGTGAGATGAAATTTCTACTCTAAATTAGCACACACTCAGCACTGTAATCTATTATTAAAGTTTTAGTCTATGTATTTTATCTTGGTCTTCTACAACAACTTGCCCAGTAAGAACAAAGCCCTCATCTCTCAGATGGAGAGATTAGGAGAATGACAAAAGGGTGGGCAAGCTCTGCAGTTATATCATTACACCAGTAACAAGAGGGAAATAAATTGCCTTCAATAAAATAAAAAATAATCTTTAATTATTCATTTCACAACATTTATGATTTCAAAGTATTTTCTTTAAATTTTCCTGTCCTTGAAAATCTCAATTTTTTTTTAGGCCAGAGAGAAGAGAAGACTCTTCTCTACATTATTTTCAACACATTATTTTAATCCCAGAATTGCAGAACCAACTAGGCTGGAACAGGCCTCTGGGATCATTGAGAACAACCTGTGACCAAACACCACCACGTCACCTAGACCATGGCACTGAGTGCCATGTCCAGTCTTTCCTTAAACACCTCCAGAGACCCCACCACCTCACCAGATAGCACACTCCAATGTCTAATCATCCTTTTCTGTGAAGAAATTCTCCCTAATCTTCAACTTAAACCTCCCCTGGCACAATCTGTGTCCTCTCATCCTGTCATTGTTTGCCTGGGAGAAGAGAATGTTCCCCACCTGGCTACACCCTCCTTTCAGGTGGCTGTAGAGAGCAATAAGGCCTCCCTGGAACCTCCTACAGCTGCTCCTCATCAGACTTTTTCTCCAGACCCTTCACCAGCTTTGTTGCCCTCCTGCACATCAATGCCCTTCCTGAGTTAAGTGGTCCAGAACTGGATGAACTCAAGGGGTGACCTCATAAGTGCTGGGTCTAATGAGCTCTTGAAAACTTATCCCATTACATTCTCACAAAATTTCCATCTCAGTTTATAATCCAAATAATTTTAGACAAGTTCAGATACATTAACTTAGATATGCTAAGCCATATGAACAGGGTTTTTTAAGCTTCAAATATGAAGGACTAAAACCTCCTTATAATACAAATTAAAAAATTGATAAAACTGTCACAGTTCATCTTCCTGAAACTAGCATTTTCTCTTCTACTTAGAAAACTTCCAGCTTTTATGATAGGCTATTCAAAAGACAAGATTTTTTCCATTTCTCACAGACATTAGATATTCCATCATATTCATTAAGCACATGAAGAGTGTAAAAAATATTCTTTGTTGGCATTATCTTTCCCTTCCTTCAGTAAGCTCTATAGGGGGATTGTCCATGTGGTTTGCTTGTGGAGCTGAGTGTCTCAGTTCTTCCCTGTTAACATGGATTTCTTAACTGACTGTAACAAAAGCAGTGCTGAGCCTTATTTTGGGGTGCAGGTAAAGGATAAATATTTGGTGTATGCATATTTGGAGTGGGGATACATGCACAAAGATTACCCCACCTCTACTGCTCCAAGATATGTCATATATGGTGCTGTACAACGACTTTCAACTTCAAGAGCAAGAAGAAAAAGGAAAACAGTATTGCTTGAGCTTTTCAATACTTACATCAAAACCAAGCAAGCTATGATTTATAGAGAGAATTTGTGTACATGTATTTGTGTACATGACTCCAAAAGTCTTTGAAGTGTTTCTAGCAAACTCTCATGAAAGAGATCAATATTAAGGAGCAAAGATGGAATTTTCAGTTCTACTAATACTTTAAGCTGATAATCCATTAGGAGAAAAAATATGTCTAAATTTCTGCTCTAGTTAAGTAGCCCTCCCTTCCGGCTTTGTAGGTCTCAGGTGCCAGCTCTGCTTATTCAGGTGCCAGCTGTGCTTACTCTAAATCAGCAAATCCAGTCCAAACCTAGAAAATTCTCTTATCAGCCTGCTCTAGATTCTCAGGAATTTGTATTTGGAAAGTTGGATTTTTCAGTATTGTTTCATATATATCCCTAAAGAAAACATGCCTTAGGATTAGGGATTTCATTTAAGAATTTACATTACAAAGACTTTTCCTCCACCCTCTGTTTTATATCTCCATGTTTTATAAACTGCTAGAATCCAAAGTGGCAGAGAACTTTCATATTTGCTTATGGCTAGAAAATCTAGTTCATGAGACCCTAGTGTCCTTTTGCTATTTCTCCTTACTGTTCCTGTTTAATGAGCAAAACAAAAATCCACCCAGACACCTGACAGAATTTCTCAATTTATTCCAGATTACAACATATTTGTTTCTCTTTTCTGCCTGTTTTTGTTTCAAAGACATGAGGACTTGCTGAACTTTACTCTTTAACAAGTCAGTTTCTAAACAAACAGGTGGCATTTCTCCCTTTTCCCATCCTACTCTGGAAGAGCAGCCTTCATCATTGCTTCCTGTATGACTTACTACTGTTCCCATCACAGACAACTTAAACAAAACATATTGCATTTATTTAACATCTTCTTACCAAAAAAAAAAAAAAAAAAAAAAGCCTGTAAGCAGACTAGTTTCTCTGTCATGAATTTCCACCCCAAAGACACACAAGCAGAAATCATAGCTCTTTGAAAATTCCAGTCCCTAGGATTTAGGATAAATCAAACAGAACAAAACATACTCCTTCAGTTTTCACAAGCAAAATTGAAACTAAATTGGTGATATTTCTAAAATTGAAACTTTCCTGGTTTTCCAGCCAAAGTTAATTGTTTTTTCTGGCATCAATTCAGTGCTGATCTATCTGCCTGTCTCACAGGAGCAGCAGGCTGGTTGTCTGTAGCACATAGTCATTGTCTTTGGTAGTGCTTCCTGTTTGGATTACTGCTTCTGAGATAAACTGTGCTGTCCCATCTGCCTTCTGCACTAATTCAAGTATTTTAATTAGAAAATTATTTAAACCAGCTGTTAAAGATACTCATTCTACTAAAACACTGAAAACCACTCCTACCACAAAAAGTCAAAAAGCAATTTAGGAAATTAGTAAAAACAGTCAAGATACCTAGTTTTAAACTCCTAAGTCAGCACTGAATTTTTCCTATAAATAATTAGGAACAATATAGATACCATTTTCAAGGATAAACAGCAGTTACATTATAAAATTTGGTATAAATTTCCTGTCTGAGAAACTGGATTTAAATACTTTCTCAGACAATTTGGTGGTCTTGCCAGCTCATAAAATGAGTTTTGAATAAGTAGAGCTTTTAATGACACTGTCATGGTTATTTACTAAAAGTATTCTTTCACTTCTGAATCACATAATTGTCTGGTTATGTTTTAATATTGACTGCATTAATTTTTGTAGTATTCAGTGTGAAGTGGATGTAGATAAGTCAATGAGGAAATCAAGCATCTATTGTTCCATAGAAGTACCCATTTGAATATTCCAGAAGCTTTACAACAAATCTTGGGGGTTTGGCATAAATCAGCACATGCCCAGGGCATTTTTCCCATCACCCTCTTCTATGTTTGTGTGTGAAGATGTGGATGCATACCTGAATCCCCTCAAAAGAAATTCCACAAGACAAGCCCCACCATGTTGTCCATCTCAAGAGGGCAGGAGACAGAAGTCTCATGGAGTCCTGGACTTGCTGGTCCTTTCCAATGCAACAGCTTTAGGTACATTTAAAGATATTTAAAGCTAAA